CGGCCTTGGGCTCCGAGCCTCCCCCCTCCGGCTATCACATCCAACTAGAATTTAATAACATTGTTTTGTTTCCACTGAATTTACTTTTATGATTATGAATTCTATTTATGGCAAGAGAGGCTTGTTTTCCATTTGTAGCGGTGCTATAAAGCTTCTCTTTTAAATAAACGTATTTAAGTTTTTAAAAAGTGAATGGATTTAGAGGAAGGCGGTAGTCTTGAAGTTGGAGAGGGTGGGGGGGGCAAACAGATGGCTCTGCTGGGGATGATGCCCAGTCCTGCACTGCAGCTCTGAGGGACAGTCTGTCCCGGGCAGGAGGAGTGGGCAGGGCCAGGGTAGTTAAGCCTGGCCCCTCCGAATGCTAGGGGCTGAGTCTGCTGTGAGAGTTTGTTCAGCCCGGAGGCAGGGGATGGGTTTCCCTTGGAGCTGGGCAATCTCTAGAAGTCGCAGGCTCAGAAGAGCAGGCTGGTCAACTGGGCAATGAGCTGTGGGCAGTGATTTGAAGCTGTCCTGGTCACCGAGCCACTAACGCAATGTCCCAGGTTCCTTCCAGCCTGCCCGTGTGAGGCAAGACTTCAAATGCGGGGCTCCGGGAGCCGGCATGACCTTTTGCTGATTAGCTCAGGCTGTTTGCTCGGCAGCCGCCAGCTGATCTCTGGACGGCGGCTCAACACGCCAGCCACAGCTGCCTGTCACCCTCTGGCAGATAAATAACTGCTCCTGGAGAGGTGGGGGAGGGGAGTCCAGCGTGCAGCAGATCGAGGGGAGCTGCTGCATGCAAGGTGCATGGATTGGCGGGGTGGCCTTGGGTGAGTCACTGGGATGTCCGCTCTGCAGTTCAGCAGCACCTCTGCGGGCAAGAGCATCACCCCCACTCCCCAGGGTGGGAAACCAAGACCAACAGCGGGGAAGGGGCTTGCAGAGAGGGTCTGTGCTCACCTCCCTCAGCTCCCAGGCTCTGCTGTCTTGAACAGGCCGGCCCACATCTGGCCTCTGTCCCTGGTGCTGAAAGAGTCCCACCAAGGTCACCCAGGGTCCCAGGACACCAGAGAGCCCCTTTCTAGACTCTCAACCATTGCTTGGATAAAGGCAACTTCTAGGGACCAGGCTTCGAAAGTGGGAAGTAGAGGAACAGAGGGGCAGGGGCCTGGGAAGCTGGGAAACTTGAATTCACTGAGTGACAAAAGGACGTCCCTAGAAGGGATCTCGAGAACAATGAGTTCCGCCCCCAGGTTCCTGAGGAAGATTCAGTCGAGCAGCTGCCTCCACCATCAGACCGCCCAGGAGCCAGGCCCATCTGTCTTGCCACCTGCCTTCTGAGGTGGGGCTGGGCTGGGAAGCATCCCATCTACTCATTCAACAAACATTTATGCACTGTCTCCCACCTGCCGGGCTCTGAGGCTCGCCGCCGCGCAGAGCCAGCAGCCTGGGGCTGAGCACGCAAGAGAAGACGGAGATTTCACGCCTGGAGAGGACTCCAGAGGCTACGGGGCTGGGGCGATCCCACTCAGGCTACGCTGAGCCTGGAGGAGGCTGAACTTGGGCTGGGATGGAAGGACAGGTATCTCTGGGAGCAAGGAAAGACTAACACGGGTGGAGCATCCATGTTCCAGAGATTGCCGAGTTCCCATTCCATGCTCAGGGCAATATCCAGCACTGCTGAATGAGCACCTACTTGATGCCAGGCTGTCTACATACCCCACTGAACACTTCCCTCCCAGGAAGGGCCTTATTGTCCTCATTTTATAGCAAAAGAGGGAGGTGAGAGGTAGAAAATGACTTCCAGCATTTCACACTCAAAACCCAGCAGGGCAGAGGTGGACTGACTTTTTAAAAGGAAAGAAAGGCTGGCCTTGGTGACTCACGCCTGTAATCCCAGCACTTTGGGAGGCCCAGGCAGGCGGATCACTTGAGGTCAGGAGTTTGAGATCAGCCTGGCCAACATTGCGAAAACTCGTCTCTACTGAAAATATAAAAATTAGCCAGGCCCAGCTACTTGGGAGGCTGAGGCAGGAGAACTGCTTAACAATTGGAAGCAGAGGTTGCAGTGAGGCAAGATCACGCCACTGCACTCCAGTCTGGGTGACAGGGCGAGACTCCATTTCAAAAAAAAGAAAAGCAACAGATAAACTTGGGGGACAGGGTATTCCAGGCAAAGGGACTCCCACATGCAAAGACAGCAAGGGAAAGTCTGTGGCTACCGCCGGGCATATCGGGCAAAGCCCAGCCCAAGCCTCCCAATCACTGTCCCATCCCCAGAGGCTGTGCGATGGGCTGGGGTGGGCACAGCCTAGTCCGCCAGCCTCACCCTAACAGTATGCAGTCTGCCGCAGCCATGGGCCTCTGTGGTGCTCTGTCTGCTGCCATGTGGGTCTCAGTCTAGAGGCCGTGGGGCTCTTGGCTCCTGGCATGGTCTGAGCTGCTGTCCCCTCCCCCAGACTTCCCTGTCTTCCCAAGAGCTCCCAGCCCAGGGAAGCCCCCATCAAGAGAGGGTCTGTGGGGACACAGTCACATTTCAGGTGGGGACAGTGTCACCCACAGAGGGGCAGGGACAGGCCACTGTCGCAAGGCTTTGCTCTGGTAGGGGATCAGCACAGATTGGTTGAATACATGGAGAACTAAAAACTGGAATTTCTGGTTCTGAGTGTTCTCTCTCTCTCTCTCTCTCTCTCTCTCTCTCTCTCTCTCTCTTTCTTTTTCTCCCTCTCTCGCTCTCACTCTCTCTTCAAGGTTTTTTTCTGTGTCTCTCTGAGCCTCTGCCTGTCTCCTCCTCTTTCTGGAACTCTCTATATTTTCTGGGTCTCTCTGTTCCTCTCCCTTCTCCTCCTCCCCCTCCCACCCTCCCTGCCCTCCCCTCCCCTTCTCTGGCCTCGGGATGTTCAGGACACAGGCTGAGTCGTGGTCCCACAGGCTGGCCTCAGTGGCACCTGCCCCCACCCACCCCCAGGCAGCAGACCCACCCCAGGTTCATTCCCACATTTCCCCTATCTAGGTCAAACGACCAGACCCACATGGAGCACAGTGTCTGCACACAGGGAGGACTTCACTCCACTCAGGAGGCGCAGCCGGACCCAGGCCTGTCACTGTGTAGCCCCCCAGGAGCCTGGTCCACAGATTCCCAGGGGCAGGGGGATCTTTTCTGAAATACAGAGATGGTATCAAGGTCAGCAGGGCTTGGAGGGACCCTGTTGAGAATGAGGAGAATAGCCCGTTGGGGAGGAGGAAGACCACAGATGGGGCCAGGCAGGGCTGGCATCTGAGGCCTTGCTGATCCTGGCTCAGGCGGGGCAGCCCACTGTGCCACAGGGAACGTGGGGCTGGGGCTCGGAACATCTAGGGCCTCGCCCCTGCAAGATTTTGTCTTGGGAGTGAGTCCCTTCCCTTCTCTGGGCTTCGAGTTTCTCATCTATACAACGAGAAAGGTGGGTTCATGAGCCCGAAGGTTCCTTCGAGCCCTAGCATTCTAGAAGCCCAAGGCAGCAGACCAGGACAGAGCTAACAGCAGCAGTGGAGCAGCCTGACCTGGGGACCCCACTGCCTGCCAGCCTTTGCGGGAAGGAAGGAGAAAGACATGGAGAAATGAACACTGGACTGTGAGTTAGAGGACACCTATTCCCCCAATCTGACTCTGAATCACTATGTGGTCCCCTGGGCCTCAGTTTCCCCACCTGTAACATGAGGCAGCTCCAGTGGATGAGACTTGAGGGCCTGCCAAATTGGAGATGCTACCAGGTGTTGGCAGGGCCAGTGCTGTGCATGGAACTCCTCCTTACCAAGTCCTGGTGAGGCTTTTGAATGATGCCATAGTGGTAGGGGTGAGGGGGCAGGGCAGAGCCCGGGAAACAAGGTCCTCTGGGATCCCTCCCCAGAGCCCAGTCCAACTTGTCTTCTTGAGAAGCCTCCCTCTAAAGTTGCAGAGAGGTCTGGGGAACCATCTGACCATCAGCAGAAAAAGGCATGCCTTGGGAGGTTCTAGATGGAGTCTCTGTCCCCCCATGTAATGAAAAAGAGAACCCAAAAATTCCAAGATGCCTTCCTCTTGTGGTCCACTGGAATTGGCAGAACATAAGCATTACAACCACTTTAAATAAACTCAATATATAGAATGCTTTCATACGAAAGACAATCTATTTATTGAGAAAACCCACAGCCTAAAATCCAGACTTTTCAGTGTACTGTGTCACTTAACAATAGCGCCTCCTTCTGGTCAAGTGAGATATTACAACCCAGCTCTATTAGGCCAAGAAACTACATAAGAGGACCTGCTAAGTTTGAAAACGGCTGAGTCAGAGTCCCAGAACTGGGTAAAGTACAGTTGCCCAAATCCAAAGTATAGCTGCCCAAAAAGGGCATATCTGCTATTTCTGAAAAAAGCTGCAGAAAAAACACTTGTCCAGCTACCTTCCCACAGCAGGATGAAACTCAGAAAAGACACAGCACAACCAGATCACTAGAAGACCTGGCAAGCCATTAGGATGGAGACCTCCACCCCCAATCACCCAGGCCTTCAATTCAACAATTTGTATGTACTTTTCTAGACAGAGAACCTGTGTCAAATATACAGTATAAGTGAATATTAACCTATGTGACCTATGCCACGTTATTCATATAGTGGTTGTATACCCAAATGCTGGACCGTATCTGTTCACAAAAGTGGTGAAAGATAAAGTCTCCTTTAATCCTCCGAGCTGCTCCTGGCTTGTCAGGGAAGGATAATGGGTATACCCTGAGTATGGCCACCACCTACTTAGACCATTTCAGGGCAGCCCCAGGCTCCTCTTGTCCAATTCCGAGGCAGCCCCTGCAGCCTCTGTCCACTCTCTTCATCTCAGGGAGGCACTGTCGAACAAGAGTCAATCCTTGAGGAGCGTTTATTTCTGCAGGACACCTGGCTCTGCCTCCATCTCCTTCCAGGCACACCTACTCACAGGTCATTAAGAATTATCCCCGTCCCGCTTCCCCGCAACCCTCTGCAGACAGCATGACGAACAAGAGCATACCTTACTTGTATGTCAGGGCCCGCCAACAACCTGGTGCACCAGAGAAGAAGAGGCTGGAGGATTCCTCCCTGCCAGGCTCATGGACATGTTCACCTCATTCCAGCACACAGAAGGACAGCCTGGGTCCGGACAAACTGCAGGACAAATGGTCACCAAGGCAGCCGCACCTGCACAGAGATGGAGCAGAGGAGGGTGAGGAGGGAGGAGCACTGCCTCCTGCAGCCGTCTCAGGGGCTGGAAGACCCCATCTGCCGAAGTCACCAGCTGTTGGTCACATGTGCATTGGACTGCCGGTATGTCACACACCTCAAGAACCAATCTGAGAGGCTGGGGACTTCCTGAAACACAGAGCAAGCTGATACATGAGCCATGTGCCAGCCGGGACAGAGGGGAGAGGAGCCAACAGCAGATGCAAGATGTGAGCTGAACTGCAGGAGTGAGGGAGTAGCCAGACCTGGGGTCACTGCAACCAATTCCAACTCCAGTCACCCAGCGGTGGCCTGGGTGTTTGGGGTGAAGGCCCACTGTGGTGCTGCAGCCCTGGAGGCTCTGGGGCCATTGAGTCTGTGGGACCCTTCCAGGCACATCACATCCAACATCCCTCCACGAGGTGAAGGCAGAAGGCTGGACTGATGAGGAAAAGACCCTGGGCGTGCTCACCGGAACTGCTGCATCCCCAGCAGGGCCCTCTCCCCAGCACCTTCCACCCCAGCTGCGAAGTGCTAGGCTAGGCCAAGCACTGAGAAGGAAACTAAGTCAGGAGGCAGAAGCCTCAGGCCAAACCCCAGCTCTGTGTCGGTCTGCTGAGCGAGAGACCTTGGGCTGGTCAGTGAACTATGCTGCCTACAGGTTAGGTCATCCGTCCAGCCACTGTATCAATCCAGGAAGCTCTGCACGCCCAGCACTGGTGCAGAGGACTCTCCAGGCATCATCTCATCTCACCAGCACGCCTGCTTCCTTCACCACAATGCAGCACCTTATCCCCATTTTACAGACAGGGAAACTGAGGCTGAGAAGGGAGGCTGTCCTGCCAGGGTTGCACAGCCGGGGTGTGGTGCAGAGCCCAGCTCCATGAAGGACGCCTTTGAACCTGGAGGGCAGGAGGGGAAGGGCTGTGGGGTGCAGGGACCAGAGCAGGTGGCATCTGCAGGACAAACGGGGTTCTGGGTGCAAAGGGCTTGGTGTGGAGGTTGCAGAGGCCGTGCTGGGCTCTGCCACACCTGTGCCCCTGGAGGCTGAGGGAGCCTCAGAAGACCCTGGTGGGGACCAGGAGGGGTCCCCTAGTCTGTCTGCCCATACCCTGCCCCGACAGCTCCAGGACCAGAGCAAGTGCTAGAAGGCAAGAAGGAACCTGTCGCTGGCAGAAGTGTGTGTGTGTGTGTGTGTGTGTGTGTGTGTGTGTGTATGTGTGCGCGCGCGCACACAGATGAGTGAGTGGCATGTAATTACCTAAAATTGTGGGTTAGAAGCGGATGTAAATAACCAAAAAGTACATGGGGAAGTGGGGGGATGCTCGTCACTTAGAGATAATTACTTAACCACTAATTGAAATAATAATGGTGTGTATTTGAATATGCTAATGAGGCTGAACCTGTGCTCAAAAAGGTAACTGAAATAAAATAGGAGGAGGATTCCAGGTCCACATCCTCTCTGCCCCAGGCCTTTGCCCTGTGGGTCCCCCTGCTCTCTACCCAGCCCATGCCCACTTCCTTTGCTTGGTCCTGCCCGAGGCCCCTCCAAGGGTACCCATCAGCCCTAGGGTTACCCCACTTCCTGTGCTGGGAGGGCAGATGCGGTGGTACAGGGCGTTTGTCCAGCAGCCTCTGGCGAAGCCCCAGGGGAGAGGCAGGAATGCATGCTTGTGGAGTGCCTACTGTATACCCGGCCCAGCTCTGCAAAGCGTTCCATGTTACAGACTAGGAGACAGGCGAGTGCGGCCAGCCGGCAGTCACGTGGAGGGGGTCGGGCCAGGACGCGGATTTCCAGCTACTCTTGGACCTTCCAGCAAAGCCATCCAAAGGAGGAACAGCCAGGCCTTGTGGAACCACCTTGTTCTTATGAGCAGAGGTCCAGAGCGGGAGCTTGTAAGGACACAGAGAGGGCTCTGCGTGTTCTCACACGTGTGTGCTGGGCACGGTGTGCAGGTCAGGGTACCTGCCCTGGGCTTTCACTCTCCCTTAGCATCACCAGCAGACTGTGTACACACACACACACATACGCACATATATACACGTACATGCATGTTGCACATGTGCACACATACACATGAACTCATACGTGCATTGCACACACAGAGGCACACACACTCATCACTCTCCACAAAGGCCCACTCAGCCACATTCAGGCCCAGGCATCCAATGCACCCCCTCTGACACAGCCTGAGCTTTAACCCAACACCCTCCCTGACGTCTGCCAATGCAAGGCGCCTGAGGGGCTGAACACAAGGCAGGATGCAGGGGTCCACTCATCCACCCGACAGAAGCCAGCCAGGCCTGGAGGGGGGTCTCTCTGGGGCTGTGTGCTTTACAGGAGTGAAGGTGATTAGATGAATTCACGGAGGCCTTTGTATTGCTGCTAGAAATCCATGCTTCTGAGCAGCCAGCATCGATCAGGGATTTGTGGGGTCGCTGGTGATCTGAGACGCAGCAGCTGCTGGCCCAGGGGCTGCGCTGGGAAGGTGGGGTGTGGGGGGCACACCCAGATCTGCGTGTCATGGAGATTCAGGGTGGTGTGGGTGGCAGCAGTGCACAGTGGGACTTGGAGGATGTGGAGCTGCTGGGTTTTGAGGAGGTGACGGCTCCCGCCCATGCATATGGTCCGCGCTGGCCCCGAGGAGCCCAGAGGTAGGCTGTGCTGGCGGCTGAGCAGCATCGCCAAGGTCAAGGCTGCCATGACATTTACAAGCCCCTGAAATGCTGTGCCTCACTTTCCCCCACTGCAGAATGAGGACGATAGTGACCCTCCCTTTGTCAGGGTGTAGGCTCACAGCTCAATCTTGTCAGGAACCACAGGCCAGGGAGCCTCAGAAACCACTGGGCTGGAGGGGTCAGAGCTAGGAATCTGCCCTGGAAAATACACAGGCAGTTTTGTCTGTGATATTCAGGGCTTCGTCAGCCCGCCCTGAAGACTATCCCAGGACACCAAGGCTCTCCTTTACACAACTGTGCAGGATGTTGTGCACAGGAAACTGAGGCCCAAAGCCATCCACTGAATTGCCATGAGGCAGAAAAGGCAGGGGCCCAGACAGACAGCAGTCCTCAGAGGCTAGGGTAAACTGAGGCTCCGAGGGGCCGATCACACAGGTGCACGGTGAGGCTGTGAGGCCTCCCTTCTCAGGTGTCCACTGTGTGCCAGCGGGAAGGGGTGCCCAGCGGTGCCCTCAGGCAGGCGGTGGCAGCTGCCCCCCACGCCCCGCCTTCCCAGTGCAGCCCCTGGGCCAGCCGGACTCACTCCCCTGGCACCCTGGCAGTTGGGGGGAGCTCCTCCCCCTCCTTCCAGGACAAGGAACAACTCATCAACTTGCAAATGTCCGGGTGAGAGGGTTGGAAAAATGAAGGCGCCCAAACTTGACATTTGCATTTCAAACACTTATATCAGCAAAACAAATAACAGTAATTATACCATTTGCATATTTTGTGCGATGATTGTTTAGCGAGGTGGGGAGGAGGGGCGCCTGCTGATGCCAGCAGCCCAGCCTCCCGCACAGCTGTGCCGCCCCTCCCAGGGTCCCCGCCGCCCCGCACCTCCTTGCTGCCCACCCCTGGGACCTGTGGGTGCCTCCTGTGATGTGCAGCCTTTGGGCTGGGCTGCACCCCCCTGTGAGCTCTGCCCTCTGGCCACTGGGTGCCCCTCTGTTCTCCAACACGCCCTCCCCTCCCAGCAGGCCCCCACCTTGGCCTCCACACTTGCATGTCCCCCACCCTAGGAGCCTCTTGCAGACCCACCCAGGGTCTGGCTTCTCTGTTCAGAGCCCATCCTCAGTGTCCCCACCTCCACATTCTGATGGGGACACTCAGGGCTGACCTCTCCACCAGCCAGGAGCTCTGCATGAGGGTCCAAGCTGACCTTGAGCCTCGGTGGACAGGGCTGACAGTTGGTGTGGGACATGCCCAGCCTACAGCCCAGCATAGAGCAGGCCCTCAGTGGGCAGGGGACTTTCCCACTCAAGTGCCTGCTGCTCACTGGGTGCCAGGCACCTGGCTGGGGAGGGATACCCAGGCCTGGCACTGACCTCGCAGGGGTGACGTGATGTGGGGTCTCAGAGTGAGGGGGACGAGACTCGCAAGCAAGGGCAGTGGGTGAGCTGACTGCACACCCAGGCCACACTCAGGACCCCAAGCCATCCCCTTCCCAGTATTGCTGTGGGTGGAGCCTCCTGGAGTGGGGAGGAGCCCAGACCCATGTGTGTATAACCACGTATTTACGGAAGGTCTGGCTGTGTGTGAGCACGCATGTGTGTGCATGTGTGGGTGTGCATGTGTAAATCATGTGTGCATGTATGTGCAAGTGTGTGCGTGTGTATGTGTGGCATGGGTGCATGCATGTGTGCATACATGTGCGTTGAGTGTGCGTGCGTATGTGCATGCGCATGTGTGTGCGTGCACAGGTAGGGGTATGGTATACGTGTGTGCTTGTGTGTGTGCATGCATGTGAGTGTGTGAATGCATGTGTGCCTGTGTGTACTGTAGGTTCTCCAGACAACTCTGGTCCTTTCATCTGGGTCGGGAAATAAGAAACCAGGTCTGCAGATGCCCACTCCCCACAGCCCAGTTTTGGGGTGAGGAGGGGAAGAGTCCAGGCCCCCATCGGCGCTGGGAAAAGGGAGTAGTCCCACCCAGCAGCCCACTCTCAGCTGGCAGGGTCCCCTACCAAGCTGCAGGCTCTGCTCTCCTGAATGGCAGTCCTAACAAGAATAACAGGGCTTTGCACCTGCTGCAAACACCAGGCCCTCCCGCGGGCTGTCTTGCAGAATCCTCCCCTAGCTCCACGAGGAGGTGGAAGCGCCAGCTTTATTATCCCTGTTTACAGATGGGGAAACCGAGGCACGCAGCATTGACGCCTCTTGCCCAAGGTCACACAGAAGAGCTGGGATTTGTACTGAGCCCGCCCAACCCCTTGCTTTTTGCAGGACAAACCCCCCAGCGCACACAGTCCCAGGAACGGCTCT